CAAACACAGATATAAAAAAAAACATTTACTTTTTCAGAATGCCTTTTAGTTTTGTTTGCAGAAAATGAAACCCAGATTTGCTTCATACTTCACCTTTACTGAAATAAAAGTCAAGAAAATGTTAGATCTTTCTTTTCCTGTTTTGGACCAGTACAAGCATTTCTGTGAGGAGATCCAGACCCGTCAGTACCGCTCCCTGGAAGTCCTGCTTGGTTCAGATTACGGTCCTCCTGCTGACATCTGGAGCGTCGCCTGCATGGTGATGAAAACACCACGCTAGTTTTAACATGACGTTATTCCTTTAAATGGAATATAGATATAACACCTCCTGTAATAGTGAATTAAAGTTACATTTTGGGGAGTTTTGCTGCTCAGCAGAAGTTATTACAGAAGGTTTAAGAAAACTTGTATTTTATACACATGCAACGAAAGAACTGTGATAAATGTGTTAGTGATGTCAGGTCTAATTATCCTCTAATTCATCAAGAGCGAGTAGAGAAATTTGACTCTGCACATCAAATCTGTGACCTGCTGTGAGGTTCATCAATTATTTACGCCGTATAAAGTCGTGCTTAGGGCGCAGTAAAAAAAAAAAGTTCCAAATAAAAATAACACATCCATTAAATTGACCTTCAGTCTGGATCACACAACAGAAACTAGAAAGTTCCTGGAGAAACTTTGCCACGTTGCAGCCATTTTTAAATGTTGATTTGAAAGTACTGTGTGTTGGGGCATTGCTCTCAGCTGCCAACACAACAAATTTAGCCTAATATCTTTAAAAATGGCTGATGTATAGTTTGTCTCTATGTGTCCCTGTGATGGACTGGAGACCCGTCCAGGGTGTACCCCGCCCCTCGCACAGTGATTGCTGGACATGGGCACCAGCGACCCCCGTGACCCAAAATGGAATAAACGGGTAAAGACAATGGATGGATGGATGGATGGTGTCTTTGTTTACAAATTAAGTCGCCATGGTAACTGGAAACACCCAAAAAAGTAGTAGTACGTATCACGGTGCTGAGCTGGTTATTGATAGAACATTTGTGGGAGTACATGTTGCAGTTCAGGCCGCTACCTTTTCTAGGCAATCCCAATAAACAACGCTTGAAATGGTTTCCATCTCGGTTTGATCGCACGTCTCAGCTGTGAACGTTCCTCTGAATCCCTGCAGGCCTTCGAGCTGGTCACTGGAGACTCTCTCTTCCACCCCGAAGCCCGGGAGTTCATTTCCCTGGAGGAAGGTGGGTTCAGTGCGGCGTGCTGACACTGATGGAGGCGCGGCGAGCAATGACACCGCACAGAGTCAGAGCACGCAGCTACTGGTTTGTGTCGTAAACTAGAGAAACGTCATTTCCTGCAAAACTGAGTGTTGAAGCTAAAAGAAGCCGAACACTGCCTCAAAGCCGAAAGTAGCAAAATGCTAGCTTTAAATAGCAAACATTAGCTCAAATATAAAAGTAGTAAGCAGCAAAAGGTTAGCTTGAAGCTTAAAGTAGCACCAATGCTAGATGAAAGTTGAGAAAAGCTGATAAGTTAAAATTAGTAAAAGGCTTGCTAAAAGCTACAAGTTGCAAAAGACTAGCTAGAAGCTAAATGTAGCATCACTGTAATTAAAAGCTAAAACTAATAAATGACAGAAAATTCTATAGCAGAATGGTACCTAAAAGCCAAAAGTTGCAAACTGGTAGCATAAAGTAGCAAAATATTAGCTAAAAGTTAAAAATGAGCAAAATACTAGTTAAAATCTTAATGTGGCAAATGCTATCCAAAAAAACAAAAGCTTAAAGTAGCCCAAGACTAGCTAAAAGTAGCACAAAGCTAACCATAAGGTAAAAATAGCAAAAGGATGACTAAATGCCAAAAGTAGTAAAAGGCCAGCTTGAAGCTAAAAGTAGCATCACAGTAAGTAAAATCTAAAAGTAGCAAAATGATAGCTAAATGCTAAGTGTAGCAGAACCGTACATAAGAGCTAAAAATAGCAAAACGGTAGCTTAAAATAGCAAAACATTAGCTCAAATATAAAAGTTGTAAAAGACTAGCTGCAGCAAAAGGTCAGCTTGAAGCTTAAAGTAGCGCCAAGGCTAGCTAAAAGTAGCACAAAGCTAACCATAAGATAAAAATAGCAAAAGACTGGTTAAATGACAAAAGTAGTAAAAGGCTTGCTTGAAGCTAAAAGTAGCATCACAGTAAGTAAAATCTAAAACAAGCTAAATGATAGCTAAATGCTAAGTATAGCAGAACGGCAACTAAAGCTAAAAGTACCCTAATGGTAGCTTACAGTAGTAAATTTGAGTACACAGTTTTGCTCCACCTCAAGTACTACATGTCATGCGAATTACAATAAAGTCTCCTTGAACCTTGAAAACATTAGCTAAAAGCAAAAGTAAAATACTAGCTACATGCTAATATGACAAAATGCTATCTGAAAAAGCAAAAGACTAACTAAAAGCAACAAAAGCTTAAAGTAGCCCAAGGCTAGCTAAAAGTTGCAAAAAGTTAAGCATAAGGTAAGAAAAAGCTAAAGGCTAGGTAGAAGCTAAAAGAAGTAAAATAACAGCTAAATGCTAGAAATAGCAGAACGGTACCTACAAACTAAAAGTGGCAGAGCACAAAGTGGAGGAGGACTCGCTGTGGCTAACCTTGAAGGGGGAACAGCCGAAAAAAAAAAAGAATAAAGGATTTTTAAAAAGAGCCAGCAGCTGACAAAGTATAAAAGCAGAACTCAAAAGTCGTCGCACCCACCTCCTGAATGAGCCGAACATTTTGATATACGAACGGCTGAAACAGCACAAGTCTACAAAATATTAAAAATATGCAAAACATTAAGCAAACAGAACAAGAATAATTGTGTTCATTTCAGACCACATCTCCCAGATCATTGAGCTGCTTGGTAAAATTCCTCCAGTCGTCGCTCTGTCAGGAAAATATTCTGCGGAGTACTTCACCCGTCGAGGTCAGTCTGCAGTTTGTCTCGTCGTCTTTGAGTATGTGTTGCCAGTCAGCACATGTTGTGTTTCTTTGTGCAGGTGATCTTCATCGCGGCGGTTCACTGAGGCTCTGGAGCCTTTACGATGTTCTAGTAGAGAAATACAACTTCCTGTTAGAGGAGGCCTCTGGATTCTCAGATTTTCTCCTTCACATGTTGGATTACCGCTCAGAGCGGAGGGCAACTGCTGCACGGTGCCTCCGACACCCGTGGCTGACCTCCGATTAACCTCCCAAAAGCCCTGCAGTCCTCAGCCTCATGCTTTCAGCTGCAACTTGCTGCTTTCAGGGGATTTTTATTTTATTTTTACACTCGGGGAATTCCTGCAAAATGTCATGATGTTTATATCAGAAATGGAATCTGCTCTGCTGGAGCCCCACAAGCACTTTAGGCTTTTTATTTTTTTACAGCTCCTTTTCTTTATTTTAAAAACAAATAACAAGTCCCATAATATGAAATCTTAATCTTTATGAGTTGTTTTTATACAATTATAGAGCTGACTCTGCACAGACAAATGGTAGTTTACTCATTTATCTTCCTCCAGGTACAGCAAAACAAGCAGCTTGTCAAGATTTTACTCATTTTAAATGGAAAATAAATGTATAGCAAACTCATTTTCTTTACGTAGTCACGTCATTGGGAACCATTATGTTATGGACGATACAAATCCATGCATGCAGAAACAGAAGGAACTCCAGTGAGCAGCAAAACGAACAGTCTTTTGTACAAGAAACACAAACATACATTATTTATGACACACAAACGTAAAAACAAAATAATTTATTTCAAAGAAAAACAATGTGAGAGATGTGGCAAGTGTTACTTTGCAACCATTCAAAAGAAATCTTGATTCTTTTGTTTTTTGTTACAAAGCAAGAATTCATCACATTCTTTGAATCTCTAAAATGTCTTTGAAAAACAAGATTCGAACCAAAATATTCTGTTTTTGCAAAGCAAGACATGTGGAGCTTCACCAGCGGCACTAGATGCTGTTTTAAAGAAAACTTATGTCCAAACTGAAACGTTTTAAGAAAGCTCCAGATGTTGTCTGGATATCTCAGCAGCTCCCATTAAAAACTATATACTTCAAAAAACAGCACAGATAAGACTTTTGTTTAAATCTGCACTAAAAAAAGAACTATTTAAACTCCATTTTGTAAAAAAAAGACTTCAAAGTGAGTATAAGTAAAATGTATAACATGTAGAGTTGTGATATTATATAGAACTAGAGAAATTGCATTTCCTGCGAAAATGCAGTGTGAATGCTAATTTCAGAAGAACTTGCTGGAAAAAGCTGAAATTAGCTAAAAAAATATGCTGAAATTTAGCCGAAATCAAAGAACAAGCATTTATTAGCAGAAGAAAGCAGAAAGAACACATTTTTTTTGCTGAATTAAGATTAAAGTAGCAGAAATGAGCACAAAAATTAGAAAATTAGCTAAAAACAGCTGAAATTAGCGAGAGAAAAAAATTGTTGAAAAGTAAATAAAAAAGCAGAAAGAAGCTTAAACTACCAGAAGGAAATGGAGAGAGCACGTTTGCTGAAAGAAGCAGAAACGAGCACAAATTATCTGAAAAAAGCTGAAATTTGCAACAAACAAACAAAAACAGCTGAAAAGCAGCTAAAAAGGCAGAAAGAAGCTTAAATTACAAGCAGGAAGTGGAGAGAACATTTTAGCTGAATTAGGCTGAAAAAAGTGCAAAAAATGTTCAATTAACTGGAAAAGCTAAAATTGGCATACAACAGCTAAATAGTAGCTGAAAACATTGAAACTAGCATAAATCAGCTATAACAGGCAAAACAAGCTGAAATTAACAGAAAGAATTAAGCACAAAAATGTTGAAGTTAGGAGCAAAGAAAGGAACAAAACAGCTGAAATTAGCTGAAAGTAGCTGAAAAAAGTTTAAATTTGCTGAAGGAAGCTGAACGAAGCTGAAGCAGAACAAAATGTGAAACGAGCAGTAAAAGGTTGTAAACAGCTCTAAAGATGTGAAGGATGTAAAATGAGCTCAAGTCATTTTCTATGAGGAAAAAAAAAAAAAAGGGAGAAAAGGCTAAATATTTCCAAAAGCCAAAGTTTCACCAATACCAAAAGTCACAGCACTCTTCTCCTGAAGGAGCTGAACATTTTGGTACCTAAATTGATGCAACAGCTTCAAAACGACTAGACGAGTGTTGCGCTGAAAAATGTACAGAATAGGGACAGAAGTCAGAATAATAAACACAAACAGGAAAACAATACGAATATAATTGTTATGAATAGATAAAGGTTGGATGTGCAGTATTGTGGTTCCACTTTTATTCACCATAAATGCCTATACGTTAAAACAGCTTTTTAAATATTTACACCTTTACGTTTAATATCCACAATTAGAAAAGCTTTAGGGTGCAAATTACAGACGACATGTACAATATTTACAACTTCACAACTCGAGACCGTTGTGTCTAAACTGTTTTCATTTACAGCTTAAGCATCAAAACATATCTCGACTTGTCTCGTTAAACCTTCCACGTAATCAAAGATTTTTTAATTGGGGCTCTTGCACGAACTAAGCCTCTCGTTAAATCATCCAATCCAGCTGTAGGCTCGGCACTCCACCAGTGGGTTTTCTTTATAAATCACTCGGTAGCCACACTCTGTCCGGACCCGGTGACACTTCCTGGGCCACGAGGTCGGTTTCATCGGCCTGCAGGGGGAGGACAGGAGAAGCCTTAGTGTTGGTCAGCCTCACTCAGAGGAAAAGACTAAAAGAGAGGCTGTTATCAAACGAATGAACATTGTCCAGAGTGGAATAATACACTCACGTATAGCAGTAGAAACCAAACTCGTGACAGAAGCATTTGTCACAGCCTCTCCGGAAAGAATCTCCCGGTTTGAAGTATTTGTCCTTGTAGGAACAGATTCCTGAGGATATTAAAAAAAAAAAGCACCACAGTTACACAGAGTTCTAGTAAAATCTACTGTTTTGGCTTTTCTGTTACACGACCATCGAACAAATGTTAACGATAACTGGAGTAAATACAGGTCTCGCTTGTAAATGAGTCTTAAGGCTCAATGTGATTTATCTGTATCAATAACAGTTGAATGAAAATACAGAACTCTTGATGGTAACATCCGCAATCGAGCGTTTGTGACGACCGCCGACGAGTTGTTCACATGGCTGTGGAGGGATTTTTCCAGAACCCACGTTTGCTTGAACTTAAGGTTGGACTTTCTTTTTCAAGATTTGGTTATGGTTCCATCGGTTACAGCAAATCATACAGGTCCTGAAGCAGCAACGTAGCCCCAGACCACTACCTACCACTCCCATGTTTGACTGTTATGATGTTGTTTTTACTGAAACGCAGTGTTAGTTTCATGTCAGCTGTAAGAGTTGGACTTCTTCCTACAAGTTCCACTTTGTCAGTCTACGGAAAAAAACTAAAAATCCCATAAGTCTTGGGGATCTGTTGGATAAATAAATATTCAACAATTTTTAGTCAGGTCATCTGGACAGTTACTTTTTTTATTTTTTTTCTGAAACGTTTCACCTTCCATCCAGAAGGCTTCATCAGTCAAGGAAACACACAACACAAAACTGATTCTTCCCCCAAACAGCTTACTCCAAAGTGGAACAAACCAGTTATGTTGGTGCTAAGATGGTGTCGTTGGCACGCCCCCTCCTCTGGAGCCAGCCCTCTTCCTTGTCGACAGTCATGTCAAACTGGCTCAAAACCAAAAAAGTCCATGCTCAATAATCATCAGTCAAGAAAACACACAACATAAAACTTTACTTTTTTGGTTTTGGACCAGTTTGACATGGCTATTGACGAGGACGAGGGCCGGCTATAGAGGAGGGGGCGTGCCAAAGACACCATCTTAGCACCAATATAACTGGTTTGTTCCACTTTGGAGTAAGCTGTTTGGGGGAAGAATCAGTTTTGTGTTGTGTGTTTCTTTGACTGATGA